TCCTTGGAAACCCTACACAGAGTTGTTATGGGTCGCAACCGACTTGATGGCACTTTTAACAACAACAACAAATTGTCATTACTTAAAATTTCTATTATTCCTTCAGTACTACTCTGAGATTAAGCCAGGAAAGTAAATACTATATGAAGACTACAAGTATGTCCCAACAATTTTAAGATTCTTTCACAGCATTAGGAAGAGAAATAATTTTCTAAAATATTTATGCCCCCAAAATGGTGACAATGATTTGCATTCTTTCCAAATTCACCAAATTTTCCTACGTGCTGACTCTTGTTGTATGGCAGGTTTATGTGGAAACCAAGCTTACAGAGTTACTATAAGAAATCCTGGCTTCTGCATAGCATGGCAATTCTAATGCAGGCTGCCCCTGCATTTGCCCATATGGATCTCACTGCCTTGCACCTGAGTTATACTGTGGGCCTGGAATGTTGCCAGGACTCCTGCAAACAAACAACACTGGATGTTGTCCTATTGGGAAGCTACGGCTCCTGTTGTATCTTTCGAAGAAGACTGAGGTCAAGTGTGGCTTGTCTTGTGAATCTGAATGTTTCCTTGATACTAAAGAAGACCCTGTTGTGGGTATCACATTAGTACTCAGATGTAATTTTGAGAAAAGGAAGAAAACAGGGAAAGAAAAAGGAGAGGGAAAGAAGGAGAAGCAGGCTGACAAAACAATTCATTAAACACTGTTACCCAAGAGAGTGCCGGTGGTGTGGCAGGTTACATGTTGGGCTATCACCAGGTGAGCAGTTCAAACCCAGCAGCCACTGTGCAGGAGAAAGATGGGGCAGTCTGCTTCCATAAAGATTGATAGCTTTAGAGACATTGTGGCACAGTTTTACTTTGTTCTATAGGGTCCAAATGAGTCAGAATGCACTAGACAGTAGTGGGTTGTTTTTTGTGTTAGTTATCCAAAGTTACTCCTGGTGTGGCGCTGTGGTTTAATGCACCAGACTGCAAAGCCATTTGAACTGCAAGATTGGTAGTTCAAGCTCACCAGCAGCTCCTTGGAAACCCTATACAGGGTCGCTATGGGTCGGAATCGACTCGACGGCACTTTAACAACAACAGTCCCAGGTTAGACATATTTATCTAAAAAATAATGTTGAGTTTTCTCTCCTTTGTTTTTCCTTAACACCATAAAAAGTTTAAATTATAAGATATTTTATTTTCTAAAATGAAAACCCAGAACTGTTCAAAGTAATAAACTACTGAAATAAACGGTCAGTGGTGGTTATGTGCCATGGAGTCAGTTTTGACTTGTAGTGACCCTGTACAGAGTTTCCGAGGCTGTAAATCTTTACGGGAGCAGAAAGCCTCACCTTTCTCCTGCAGAACAGCTGGTAGTTTCAAACTGCTGACCTTAAGGCAAGTGGACTGACTCGTAACCACTATGCTATCAGAGCTCCTTAAATGGTCAATGCTACACTCCAAATTAGAAACAAACAAAAAATGTTCTCATGCCAGTTCGGACCAGTTGGTAGTGAGTGTGCTGAAATGGTTCTGCGGCTCTGGCCAGTCTCTGAGAGAAAGAGTGCCATGACCATCAGCCGTGTCTGCTCCCAGTGCAGGATGGGAGAATGGCAGCACAAGGGCCAGGGCGCTAGGTGCATGTGGCATGCAGTGCATTTGTAACCAATTAATGATGAATAATATGATGAACACGTAGGTGTCCTCCGCTTATTTAACAGACCATAAAATACTTCCCTAACTCAAATTTTTTCCTTACTGTACAGCAATTACTGTCTTAACATAGATAGGTATTTATGATCCTTGTGCATTGTGTTCTACTCTTATCCTACATGCATGTATCCCTAAGTAGCACATAGCATGGTTTTACGTGCTCTCTACACTCATGTTTAAGTGGTAACACATTGTATGTATTCCTTTGAGACTTGCTTGTTTGCTTAACATTATGTGACATTCTTCCATGCTAATGCATGCAGCTCTAGTTCATTCATCTTCACTGTTGTCAAGAAATTAAATTTAAAATGGGCCCAGATTGGTGGCACCACAGATACCTGGCAGAAGCCAGCGCTGGTTTCCTCTGGAGAGATGCAGCATCAAAGCAGGTTTTACTGGAGTCCAGTCATGTTATTGAACTCAAAATGCCAAAATGAAAACCAAAAGCAACAGAATCAGACCTTTAGAAGTCCAGATAGTATTAAAATGCTACTAAATTGAATGTTGCGATGTTTAAATACATAAAAGAATGAATAGAAAACATGAGAAAATTATTTTCTGTTTAAGCAGAGAGCATCCTGGGAAATGGTAATGGCAATTGCATAGATTGACATGTCTATAAATATAATAAGTGTGTCTCAACCATGGGACATTTGAAAAATGAATAAAAATAAACATCAAAAATCAACTACTTTACCTCTGAAAAATCATTCCTTTCTGCTTTTTGCACCGCCAACTCTGCCATCCAGTTTTTCAGCACATATCTAGGATTGACACCTTAAACAAGGGTGAGAAAGCACATCTTGGTACAAGAAGATATTTAATTAAAACAGGCCATCATTTGCTCACCAGTGAAATGAAACAGCCTCTAAAAACCTTGCAAGAAGGCTCAAAAGAGATGAAAGCATCAGCACATCTGTTAATTTTGATTAGATCTAAACAGTGTACAGCATTTATCATCTTATAGGACAAAAAACATTTTTGAATGTTATGATTTTGAGTATTAGGTTTTGCTTTTTAGTATTTAACTTTTTTTTTTTTTCCTGGTTGTCTACCTTCTTGTCTTTTCACTTTCTAAAATCTATGCATAGCTTCGTAATTCAAATTAGTAAAGAAGCCCTTTATAAACAAAAACTAAAATCAAACTCATTTTCAGAGGCTTCTCTAAAACCCTTTGGAGTAGGGTCTCTCTGAGTTGGAAGGTACTCTATAGCACTTAACAACAACAGTTCACAAAATACATTATATTCATCCCAATCTTTCCAACATCCTGGTGGCAAGGTTTATTAATACTACAGGAGCCCTGGTGGCTCTGTGGGATCAGCACTGGACTACTAAACACAAGGTCGGCAGTTCAAACCCAGCAGCCTCTCCTTGGGAGAAAACGGAAGCTATCTGCTCCCGTAAATATTTACAGCCTTAGAAACCCTATAAAGGGTTTTTGACTATGAGTCAGAATTGACTCTATGGCAGTGAGCTTCATTAATAATAGAGTACCCAACAACCTTCTGCCTTAACTTCTTTCACCTTGCTAGAACTCACATTGCCTAAAGTACGAACTTCCATGAGTACTGGTGTGGAGCTGTAGGATCAGCACTGGACTACTAACCTCAAGGTCGCCAGTTCAAACCCCCAAGCCCTACCTGGGAAACCCTATATAGGGTTGCTATGAATCAAAACCCACTCGACAGCACTTAACACAATGAGTACTTACTATCTTACTGAAATCGTGCAACAACCCATGATGTAAAATACATTTTACAGATAAGCAAACAAAACATAAGAGAAGTCAAATGGATAGAGACGTTGTAAAGCTGGATTGTGGTGATGACTACACAATTTTGTAAGCTTAATAAAAATAATAATCACTGAATTAAGCACTTAAAATGAGTGAATTTTATGGAATACAAAATGTAATTCAAAAAATCCATTAAAAATCTATATACAGAGAAAGAGAGAGAGAGAAGTAGATAGGTATCAGGTGACATGTTTACTATCACCTGGGAAAGAAGCGGCAGCACCAGAACTCAAGCACAACTGGCACTTAACAACAACAACAACATGCAAAGTGATCTTGGTATGGAGCTGTAGGATAAGCACTGGACCGCAAACTCACCAGCCATTCCTCAGAAACCCTATACAGCGTCGCTATGAGTCGGAACTGACTCGATCATACTTAACAACGTGCAAAGTTATGAAAGCAGAGTTATCATGCATTATGATAAGTTCAAAGTCACCTGCTGACACGACAAGTCGACAAAAAAAGTCTGGCACTGTAAGATAAGCATTGGACTGCTAACAACAGGGCAGGTGGTTCAAATCCGCCATCCACTATTCAGAAGCACTACACAGGGTGGTTATGGGTTGGAACTGACGCACAACACTTAACAAGGACAGGTTTATTCCAGTTTAAAAAGAAACAAGTTCACTTAAGTAATTGCTTTCAGGCTTGTCAAAAATGTTAACTTTATTTGATAATTTTTAAAGTTCAGCATATCAGCATTACTTACTTTTCATTCTTTTTCTTCTTTTAGAATCTGAGTCATTCGTGTTACTAAAAATGAGTAAAAGGACAAAAATTAGCCACTATATGCCCAAGTTATATCTTGTATTCAAAAGGGAGGGAGTTATTTCACAAGGTAAATACTGAGGAAAAACATTTAAAACTCAGAAAGAAGCAGTAGATAAAAGGAAGATTGGAAATATTAAGTTTGATTAAACAATATATAAAATAACACCTTGTTCAGTCATTTTTGATAATACTAAATGTTATTTTATTCTTCCAATTAAATTTTTTTTTCTGAACTATAAAAGATATGATACACTTCCTTATCTTAAACCTAGTTTTCTGAAAATATGCAACCTTTTCTTGATGCCTCAGGATCATCAGTATAAACAAGTCTCTTACTTCTCCCTTCACTGCTGCTACCTACAACTTCTTTACTCTTTTATGTTTGCTGCTTCTTACTCACTGTGAGTTATGAAGCAAAATAACTTTCTTATAAGATATGAAAATCAACAGACAATGGATAAACACCTGAGGCAGCTCTCCTTCAAAGATTCAGCCTTTAGCCTTGGGCAACCTAGGGGTCACGGTATCAGATGAGGTGCTAATACAGATGCCTCAGCCAGTGCACTTACCTGTGAGCAAAAGGAAATGTTGAAAAATGGAAAGGAAGAGAGGAAAACTGATGCATTGAAAATGCTAAGATACTACAGTAAAACCTTCAAAAGCTAGACCATGTGTAAGGTGGGAATCTGTCAGAAAAGGAAAGCTCAAATATTTTCCACTAACATGAGAGATAGAAAAGCGGTAAGACTGCACACCCTGTCAAAGGAGGAAGACCTGCGAGATCTGGAAAAGCAAGGCAGTCTTGTTCAGTTCTGATGCCCACAGGTTTCACTGTACATTGTGTGGTTTATTGGAAGGGATTAAATTACTTTACCTCTTCAGTCTCAAAAGGTACCGGGACACCCAGGTAGGAAACAATTCATGCTTTGAAATCATCTTCAGTGCCCAGAAATGCTAAATTAAAATACAGTAATCGAGTGCTTAGTATATCAATAATTATTCAGTTTATTTTAATGTCATGTTTCTTTTGTTTATGTTCTTTAATAATAACATCATAGCATCTGGATTTTTTTCAAATCTGCTTTAAGTAACATATGAAAAGTATTTTCCTTTTCCTCACATTATCATTCAACTCTAAAATTCTAATATGGAAATCCACTGAATGACAGTATTTAAGGAAAATTAAGATACAAAAAATTCTTATGAGATTATATAATGAATACTTGCATTATTAAAAATCTCTTTTTAAATAGGGAACCCTCTAAATATATAATTTAGCTTTAAGAATTTAATTTGCAACTATATTTATTTATTAATCTAACAAACATTTATGAAATATCAACTATATGCTAGATACTATACTACATGGGTGAATATAAAAGCATATTGTACCTGTCTTTAAAAAGTAAAGCATATAAACAAATAATTCAATACCATTTGAGAAATGTTACTATAGGAATATATATAAAAGGATCAGCAAACACAAAGGAATAAGCAATTAGCTGTACATGGGGAGGTAGACATAAATGATATGGTTTGAATTCAGCCAGCAGCACCATAGAAGAAAGGCATGGAGATCTTCTATCAGATCACCAAAATAACAACAGTACACTATGGAGCAATTCTACTCTAACACATACAGTTGCCATGAGTTGGAAATGACTTGATGGCAACAGGTTTTGTTTTGTTTTAGAGGGTTGAGAAGATTTTGTAGTCAAGATACACAGATATTAACTACTGAAATGATTAAATGTGTAATTATCTCTTTTCACGTAGGTTTTCCCAACTCTTGGAAATTTAAGTATTCATAACTGTCAGGCACTTAAAAACCACTCCAGCATGACTTCGTCTGTTTCCCACACCTTACATAATAGCATACTTATGATACTTTTAAAGAATTATACCAAATGCACTTATTGGCTAACATTTTTCTGTACTTCTTTCATACATTATTTGATTCTAATCACTCCTAAGAATGCAGTTCATAGTTATTCCATACTTGTGAGAATAATTTTCCTTATAATGAGCATGGCTCATTATACACCTTCCTTAGCAGTAACAATTTCTTTCATTTTCAAGCGACACTAGCTTAATTCCCATATACCCTGACAGCACCCATTTCTGTTTAAAATTGGGAAAGTAAGTTGCTAGAGCCAAAACCTGTATCTAATACAGAGCTTCATTCTAGGCACCCATTCTTAAGAGCCTACAAGGGCTTTCCATGCTAAAGAGACCACACTGAAAAAACAGATGTCTGAAATTAAGAAAATTACCACTACTTATTTTACTTATAAGGAGCTCTGGTAGCATAATGGTTACAAGCCGGGCTGCTAACCTCAGGGTCAGAAGTTCAAAACTACCAGCGATTCCACAGGAGAAAGAGGAAGCTTCCTGCTCCCGTAAAGATTTATAGCCTCAAAAACCCTATACAGGGTCGCTATGAGCTGGAACCAGCTCCACAGCACATAGCCACCACCACCACCATTTTACTTATAAGGAGCTCTGGTAGTACAGTGGGTTAAGCACTGGGCTATTAACTGAAAGGTCACACAGTCGCTCCCTGGAAGAAGGATGAGGCAGTCTGCTTTTGTAAATATTTACAGCCTTAGACACCCTCTGTCCTACAGTGTCAATATAAGTTGGCATTTACTCCATGACAGTAGGTATTTTACTTATATGATGATAACTACTAAGAGTTAATAATTATTGAGTACCAGTGAGGTAGCTATCATTATTAACCCCGCTTTACAGATGAAGCAAGTGAGGGTTAAAGAAATTGAGTAATTTGTAAAAGACTACACCAGTAAAAGGGGAACCCAGAATTTGAAGCTACCTACTGGACTACAAGGTCATAGGTTCAAACCCACCAGCTGCTCCTCGGAAATCCTATTCAGGGTCAGTATGAGTTGGAACTGACTTGGTGGCACAAAACAACAATAATCTTACACTCTACCATATGTCTGTCAGTTTGTTGGACTGTGGTGGCTTGTTTGTTGCTGGGATGCTGGAAGCTATGTCACTGGTAGTTTAAATACCAGCAGGGTCACCCATGGTGGACAGATCTCAGCAGAGCTTCCAGGCTAAAACAGACTAGGAAGAAGGAAAGAGACCTCTTCTGAAAGGCTAGCCACTAAAAACCTTATGAATAGCAGCAGTGTACTGTCAGATATAGTGATGAAACATGAGCTGTTCAGGTTGAAAGACATTCAAAATACAACTGGGGAAGAGCTGCTTCCTCAAGTAGAGTTGACCTTAATGACGTGGGTGGAGCAAAGCTTTCAGGACTTTCATTGCATAAGATCAAGAATCAATGATGGTATTGAAGGAAGAACTCCAACCTGCACTGAAGACAGAGGAGAACTGCCCCCATAGAGTTTCCAAAGCTGCAAATAACTTACATAGGCAGAAGAGAAAATGTTTCTTTTGTAGAGCAAGTGGTGGGTTTGAACCACCAACCTTTCAGTTTGTAGTCTCGTGCTTTAACCACTGCACCACCAGACATAATTAAGGAGTCCTGGTGTGGTGCTGGACCACAATGTTGGTTTGAATTGCAAGGTCAGCAGCCCAAACTCACCAGCCGCTCCTCAGAAACCCTATACAGGGTTGCTATGAGCTAAAATAGAAATCGAATCGATGACACTTAACAACAACAAAGAAACAAGAGGCTGATCAGGTATGATGAAAACAGTACTGGACAGCACGCAATTTAGGTTCTAGTTCTACCCTTGCAGTAACCTACAATGTAGGTTTATTTTTTCTTGACCTCAATCTGTGCATCTGTAAAATGAGTTGTTCATTATTATGGACTGAATTTTGTTCCTCCAAATTTTATGTTTAAATCCTAACCCCTGGCACCTAAGAACATAACTTGTTTGGAAATATGGTTTCTGAAGATGTTATCAATTAAGCTAACATGTGATCATACTGAAGTAGGTGCATCTTAAGCCCATCTGGATGCCGCCTTATAAAAGGGAGAAGAGAGGCTGAGAGATATGAAACTACAACCATGTGAAAATACATCTGTGAACCATGGAGCTCCTGGGCCTACCAGAAGCTGAAAGGGACCGGAAAGATTCTTCCCCTAGGGCCTTTCCAGAGAACACGGCCCTGCTCACACTGACCTCAGGCTACTAGCCTCCAGAACTGTGAGAAAGTACCTTTCTGTTGTTAAAGGTCACCATTTCCTGAGGATTCTAAGGCTGAGATTAACAAATGGATCAACAAAATTAAGGAACTTAAACTTTCAGTTTGGACCACAATATTTCTATTATTGTTGTTGTTAAGTGCCACTGAATAAGTTCTGACTTCTAGTGACCCTGTGTAGGGTTTTTAAAGCTAGAGCAGAAAGCTTCATCTTTCTCCTGCATTATCATATTCAATACTTGTTTTTAACTTTTCCTTTAAGAAACTTTTCCTGACTTAAAAATATATTGTTCAGTTCATAAAATTACAAAACATCAAAGCTTATGACATTTTGTCAATATCTACCAAAATTACAAATATATGCATATCTTTTCTTCGAATCTATTTTTATCATGTTTTAGATCAAAGTTTACACAGCAAACTAAGATTCCTTTTAACAATTTTTTGTTCCATGCCATTAGTTAAATGTTTTACATTGTCTCAACATTCTCATTTTCATTGTTTACTCGGTTCCCACTGATCTAGCTTCACTTCCCCCACCCCTTGCCTTCTCTCCTTTGCTTTTGAGTAAATACTGACCGTTTGGTCTCATACAGCTCAGTGTTTAAAGGAGCTTATGGGGGCTCCACATTACTCATGGGGGCTACTAATAATTTTATAAGCCAATCGATTCTTTGGCTGAGTGGTAACCTGCAGAAAATATCTTCAAGTCCCTGGTCAGAGTGGTTCTAGGTCTTCCGGTCTCAGGTTAGAAGAGGCTCTGGTTTATTGGCCCAGGATCAGTTTCTTCTTTGAGCCTTTGATTTCCTTCATTCTGTTTTGCATATATACATCTTTTAACCCACAGACCCATTCTAGGAAACAACCCATGGGTTCATTATAGGGAACTAGTAAACCAAAATACATATACAGATGAAATTGTTTTGCAGTTGTAAAAAGAACAAGGATTTGCTCTATATATTGAAATGGAAACTATCAATACACTTATGGATGAACTTTTGTGGACTGCCATTATCCAGATGAAGAATGAGTAAGGGGAGTTCACTAAGCCCTTTAGACAGGACACAAGCTGCTGTTCCCTAGCTCAATGACACAGGTTGTAGGACAGGTTCTTAGCTATTTGTGACAATGTACCTTCTGAGCATGGTGACAGATTAGGTGAGAATTACCAAAAGCCCTGACAGAAACTACATGGGCCAGATTTTCATTCTCCAGAGATTTGTTCCTTAAACTCAGACTAAGCAAACCAACACTGACAAAATATTAGGATTTAGAATGCTCACTTCAAGTCTTATTGTCTCTACTTTATATACTTTTCTTCTATTCCCAGTCCTTTTAATCTTTCATATCTTTTCTTTCTTTATTTTTAATCTTGGCTTGAAAACAATAGTATTGGCTTTTTGGCTGTCTGCCCTACATTCAGCTCCCCTGACAAAAACACAATCAAATAAGTTAAGAGTTGCCTTTCCTAAAATGTGATTCTGATCATGCTATCCTTCTGCATCCCAGATATGAAACCAAAGAGTTGCTAATTGCCTACAAGATACAGATCAAACTACACACTGCCTACAAGATGCAAACAACTCTCCTCTTTCTATTTATATTTTTATTGTAGGTGCTTTATCCTTCTCTAAAAATGTCTTTCTTCTTTTTACAGGCTTATTATAATCCCTTAATGTTTATGTTCATGATTCTTTCAACTGTCACCTTTGTTAGTGTTTTCCTAACTCTTTGGGGAGAATTATTCAGGACTCTCAATTCTCTGACAGTACTCTATTCATATCCTATCAGCTATCAACTATGTTGTATAAGGATTTATACATATGTTGGATTTTGCTTCTAGACCATGTGTTCCTTGAAGGCAGGAATATGTCCAGTCAGGCTCAGATCTCAAGTGTCTAGCACAGCACCTGCCACAAAACAGGAAGTTTAGCCAACTGGTTAAGAATACCCATGGCTTTACAATAAAAAGTTAAAAAACAAAAAGAAGAGCCATGGCTTTGGATCAGAAAGGCCTGAATGGTCACTTACTAGCCGTGTGTCTCTGGGTATACTACTCCACCTTTTGGAGCCTTGATTTTCCATCTGTAAGAAAGAAATGATAGCATCTGTCTCACAGAGTAGCTGACAGGATAACATGAGAAAGATCCAGGATAGCATAAGGATTAAGATGCTACTGTTTAAAAATGTATGTGACGTGGAGCAAGTTAGTTAACCTCTCTATGCCTCAGTTTCTTTATCAGTAAAGCAGAGATAACAATGGTTCCTACCTCATATGTCATGGTATAGATCATACATAAAATGCTTAAAATAGTGCCGGGCACATAATAACCCACTACCATGGAAAAAACTCCTACTCACAGTGACCCCTTCTGGGCAGAGTAAATCTGTTCCTTTAGGTCTCATTACAGGATCAGATAGTCTCATCTTTCTCCTACAGAGCAGCTGGTGGGGTTGAACTCCCAACCCTGAAATTAGCTACCCAATACTTAATCAGGGCTCTTTCAATAAATGTTAGCTCTAAATATTATTACTATCATTTTTATTGTTTTGTAAAGCATTTAGTAGGCCCAAAATAAGCTATCAACAAAGTTTTCTCAATAAATATGTTGAATAAGTACATAGTTGAGTTGAATTAAAATAAAGGAGTGATCAAGAAATATTATTAATTATACATCAAATGTCATGAATTACAATGAATTAAAAAAAATTTTAATTGGATTGGGTTTTAATCTCAAAGTGAATGACAACAATGACTGCAATGCAAAAGACGTGCTGTTGTTGTGTGCTGTTCAGTGGAGTCCAACTTATAGCAACTCTGTATAGGGTTTCCAAGAGTGACTGGTGGATTGAATTGCCAACTTTGAGACGACTAGTCCAGTGCTTATCCTACAGTGTCACTTACAAATCTTATAAATCTAAGATCTAAGTCTTTGAAAATCTACAAAAAATAAGAGTGTTCTGGTAATTCCAGAATAGCCAACACATATTCTAAAAAGTTAAGTGTAGTTACTTGGGAAATAGTAACAGTTTCTTAAGAAGCTAAACATTTATTTACCAAATAATTCAGTAAATCCATTCCTAGATAGCTACCCAAGAGAAATAAAATCATGTATATATTACTGCTTATAGCAATCCACCAAAAAAAACTTATACACACGACTGTTAGTAGCAACATTATTTCAAATAGCCCGAAAATAGGAAGAAGCTAAAAGTTTAATAGCTGGTAAATGGATAAGCAATATGTGGTATACCCATACAACTGAATTTAAAAATCAACAACAAAACCCACTGCCATAGAGTCCATTTCGACACATAGTGACCCTACGTAGGGTTTCCGAGGTTGTAAATCTTTATAGGAGAAGAAAGCCTCTTCTTTCTACCATGGAGCAGCTGGTAAGTTTTAACTGCCAACCTTGCAGCTAGTAGTCCAGTGCTTATCCTATGCAATGGAATACTACTCTGTAATATAAAGAGCTACTGATAGCTGATACAACATGAATGATCCTCAAAGACATGCTAAGTGAAGAAGCCAGATACCAATGGTCACCTACGGTACGATTCCATTTCTATGAAATATCTGCAAAATGAAAACCTTCAGAGACAGAAAATAAATCAGTGGAAAATAAATTGGGGCTGGAAGTGGAAACTCTGTGACTACAAATAAACACATAGGATCTTTTTAGAGTAATGAAAATGCTCTAATGGCAGAGGCATGTCACCAAGGGGCAGAGCGGTGGAGGACCCTAACCATGAAGGGCTCATTGTTAAGCAAGGCCACAATGGGTCTCCCCTTGGAAGGCAAGGCCCCAGGAGGGATCTCATGTGGGGACTCTACAATTTCTGTCTCTTTGTTTTAATCAGCTTATTTTTAATTTTCTTGATTTTATAATAAAAATTTTCAGTAGAATCTTAGTAAGAATTATATTAGAGATTTGAAACTTGTTTTTAGGCACCTTCACACCATAGTCAATCATGCGTAGTCCTAAAGAATGCTTTTCACACTAACAATAAGTTTCACCACTAGGAAAAACCAGCTAAAGTTTTTGCCAGTTCAAGTTTAAGATTACATTCAACATTCTGTGTAGTTTCGGTCAGAGACATTAAAACCTTTAGAAAATTAGCTAAAATGCAATTAAGGGCTAAGGGAATAGTAATAGATCATAAGCAGAAATTTAATTAGATGTTTTGTATAGAGAAGTTTTTGGTATAAGGAAGTTGTTCCATTTCTTCTTAACTACAAAACTTTAAATGCTTGTTTTTCTTGTTTAATCAATCATGAGAAACAACTGTGTTGTCAGTTACCATAGCAAATAACGTTTAGGTACATGTTGTGATTAATGAATCTATAGACAATAATAGGTGAAGGTAGAAATAGGAGTTAAGATTTAGAATTACGTTTTAAGGTTAACCTGACATTTTAAGAACTATAAGGTTTGCTTACAGAAATCAGATATTGTCTAACTACATAAAGGGGAACAAGGAAGATTTTGATATTCTTGATGCTCTATACTGAAATGATTAATATGTATGATTTAGACCGCTACTTTGAAAAGAATGATTAATAAATTGATGATATAGAGTAGTATAAAAGCTGTTTGAGAATTTGAAATAAACAGAGAAGATTCACCATTCATCGAGACCCATTGATTCTGTGCTTTCTTCACCAACGCCACACATCTCTCTAAGGACCCCCTAATAAGTGTGTCGTGCTGGTCCGTGACACTCTAAGATTGGACTATACTCATAACTGAACAACTATGTAATAACTAATAAGCAGTGAACCTAAAATGGGGGTGCTATAAAGGCTTACAAGTTTTCAAGAGGAAGTTGTTTCAGAGTGTGCAGGGAAGGTAGAATCCCCACTGAATAGTTTTCATCTTGTCTAGACAGGTCTGGTGAAAGGAGATGGGGGATAAGATTCTTGATTCAATAGTGAATAATTGTTTTCATGACTAATTGTGACTGTCACAACTGTAAAGATAGAAGTTTTATAATAAAAAGTTAATCTTACAGTCCAGGAACAGAAGACCCTAGGACCATCAAGGAAGAAAAGCACAAGCGGAATGTGGGACCTTATACAGAGAAGCAGCGACGCCAGAGATGGAGGCAGAGATAAGGACATGGAGAAATAGAGCAGCTGAAGACTCTAAACTCATGGAAAGAGAAAGGCTGTGTGCTGGCGGCTAGGAGGCAGTCTTGCAGACTGTTCCCTTTGGTTGTTTAAATGATTATATATTCCTGAGTGTTTTTGTGTATATCCTAAAACAACAACAAACACACAGAGGGAATAGAAGCAAATACTACTGAAGGATGATGCACGAAGACACTGTAATCATTGCAATGAAACAATGAGTGTAAAACCGATGCTCTCCATTTGCAACAAAGACTTTAAAAAAAAAAAAAAAGCATTGAATTGTACACTTAACACAATTTAACTTTATAGTAAGTAAATTAATAAGCTTCAATTAAGTTATTAAAAAAAAAACAGACTGAAAAATATCCAAATGTCATAAATTAATACCGGAGGAATGTTGAGCTCCAATAACTGGCTTTGAGTAATCTCACTGAGCTGCCGAAATGTCATTGTAAAGTCAGCTTCTGTCTTTTCCATGAGCTAATGAAAAGAAATAGATATAAAGAGATATAGACAGACATATATGAATTCTTCAAAAACATGCTGAGTAGCAATTCAAATATTAACCAGGGACGAAAACCACAAAATGATAAACTCACATGTAAGAGAAGAGCAATTAAGTCATCATCATCCTTCCCTTCTCCAAGTAGTCCCAATTTGGCTTTGAACATCTCTCTAAATCTAAAAGGAGAAATGTCAATTCAATTTGTTATTAAAATACTTAAGAACTATCCTCAGAATAACTAGGATGTTTTAACATCTGTATTAAAAAATGACAAACCTTGTATAATAAAGAACAGGGTACCCATCAAGAATCTGAGCAGCTCTATGAGAGGGGAAAAAATAAGGGACAGTTAAACCCTGATTTAAAAGTAATATTTTTGAATTACATTTTACAAGAACAAAGTGAACCTTCTGAGGTGTTAAAAGAGCATGGACATTACATGCTACTGTTTCTGGCTTAGTGGTGCAATTATATATTATATCTTGAAGAAAACTGTCCATATAAATTTAGTATCTTAAAGATTTGTTAACAATGCAGAAAAAAACCATGTCTCTAAAACATCATTAAATACAATTAGCTTATAAGATAAACTTTGATATGTTTTCAGAGTACCGAAAGGTTTCTATTGTTATTATGTAAATATACCTGGAGTGTATTTTTAAAATTATTTTTAAATCAAAATAATCATTAAAAATACCTTATACAATACAATAAAACTGCATTTACCAGAAAGCATGAAAAATTAATGGACGTATAAAAGTATAAAAAATTAAAAGAGTTCTTAACCTTAAACCTATACTTAATCACATTAAACTTAAAATTTTTAACATTATTACATGCATTTAAAATTATACAAAAGCTTAACACTTCCTGAAACCTCATGTGTTTTGCCTTTCTGACCACATCTCAAACTAACTACTCTTCGCGTTGCTTATTCTGCTGCAGCTACACTGGCCTTATTTACATTTCTTTGTGGCTCTGTAGGATAAGCTCTAGACTGCTAACTGCAAAGTTGGTGGTTCAAACCCATTAGCGACTCCTTGTAAGGGTTGCTATTTGTCAGAACCAACTTGATGGCACTAAACAACTAACATACCATGGGATCTTGGTGTGGCACTGTAGGATAAGCAATGGATTGCTAACCTCAAGGTTGGTGGTTCAAGTCCTCCAGCCACTCATTGGAAATCCTACACAGGGTTGCTATGAGCTGGAAATCACCTTGATGGCACTTAACAACAACAACAACAACAATAAACCACACACACTTCCACCTCATGACCTTTGCTTTTCCCCCAGGCATCGGCACAATTTGCTCCTGCCCTCCTTCAAGCCTTTGTTTAAGTGAGGTCTTCACTAACAATCCTTTGAAAAACTGCAAACCCTACCCCCTTTCACTGTACTCTACTCTCTACTTTTTTTCTCCACAGTTGTTGTTGTTAAGTGCTGTTGAGCCGGTTCCAACTCATACTGACCCTGTATAGGGTTTCAAAGGAATGACTGGTGAGTTTGAACTGCCAACCTTGTATTTCAAACCAACCATGCGGTCCAGTGCTTTATCCCACAGCACACACCAGGACTCCATATTACTTATCTCCTAATGTATGACTTACTTACTTTGTTTACTATCTTCCTACCAGAAGTAAGCTCCATGACAGCATGATTTTTTTGCTGTCTTACATAACAGTGTTTTATTCAATAGAGCCATACTTGGCACATACTGAGCATCTGTTGCTGTTGTTAACTGCCATCAAGTCAATTCCTACTATTAGCAACCCTGTATAGGGTTTCCGAGAAACAGCGGGTGGGTTTGAACTGCTGACCTTTTGGTTTGCAGTCCAGTGATTTCCCTACAGTGCCACAGCTTTGTTGCTATTGTTGTTAAGTGCCCTGGATTCATTCGGTTCCGGCTCATAGAGACCCTGTGTAGGGTTTCTGAGGAGCAGCTGGTGGGTTTGACCTATGGATAGCAGTCCAGTGCTTATCCTATAGTGCCTCGGTAATAAAAACACTACGTGAGTTATCTTCTTGTTCTACTGGACACGGTAAATTTTTTTATGTTGGGGGTGGATAGAAGAAGAAGTATGTTTTCTCCACCAGTACATACAAAATAGAGACAAAAATGAGCAAAATATAATCAATGCCTCAAGGAGCTCATAATCTAGTAGTTTGATCAATTAATATATTCATATTCTATGTAATTATAAATGTACTCAGCTTATCACTCATGTTTCTTCATGATCATTAATTTGAGTAAATAAATATAAGCATTACAAAGTTGTCTATTATTTATTTTATTGTTTAAAAAGATAACCATGTACCTTTTTCCTTAATCTAAAATTATAATATAACAGAGGTTTCATAACAGACAAAGGAACAAAAAAATGTCAGTTTTATGACAGATAAAAGCTAGTCTGAAGAATATGGCTAAATATGAACATAAATACATTTTGTAATATTTTGTGCCTAAATTAGAAACACTTATCCACCCAGATAATAGATGGAAATTCAATAAATCTGTTGAGACAGACATTTAATGGTCTGAAAAATGAAATGGAAGAAATACCACTAGGAGAACAGATTGAAGACTCATAAAATGCAAATAACAGGGCCAGAAGCACAAAAAGAAATTGATGGGAGAAGGGCAATACTTGAATAAATAGGAAAATTTTCTTAATTGAGAATATCAGTTATAGTTTAAACAGAAAAGTAGAACCATGACCCAAGCCATGGTGTTTCGATAATCTTACATGCATGTGAAAGTTGGACAGTGAATAAGGAAGACTGTAGAAGAACTGATGCATTTGAGTTATGGAGTTGGAAAGGAATACTGAAAGTACCATGGACTGCCAAAAGAACAAACAGATCTGTTGAAAGAAGTAGAGCCAGAATGTTCCTTAGCAGCCAGGATAACAAGACTTCATGTCTCATACTTCAAACATATTATCAGGAGGGACCAATCCCTAAAGAAGGACATCATGCTATGTAAAATAGAGGGCCAGCAAAAAAGAAGACCCCCAAAGAGATATACTGACACAGTGGCAACAGCAATGGGCTCAAACGTAACAATGATTGTGAGGATGGCGACGGATCAGGCAGTGTGTTTTCTTCAGTGGTACCTAAGGTCGTTATGAGTCGGAACTGACTCGACAGCACTTAATGACAGCAACAGGAGTGTTACAGAAAAGTTGATTTATTTTAGGAATTTGAACTTACACAACTGTTGGAGCTGGTTAAGCGGCGTGTAATGCTGCTGCTATGCATCTAGTATTGGGCTCAAAGACAACAGAAAAGGATAGAAGAGAAAGTGAGAGAGAAAAGGACAAACTGGAGCCCACAGAGACAAACTAAAACCATGTCTATTTCTGGAGCTTCCAAGCTCAGTGATGCAGGTAATTTACGAGATCAGCTGGAGCCCTTCACTACACTAAGCTGGATGTGTCCCAGGATTCAGAGAAGCTGGGGGAGGCCAGCAAGAGGAAGCTGAAGAAGTTGCAGCCCTGATTGCTTTCGCATGCCAACAAGATAAGCCAGCTGATTAATGCCTTGTGATGTGAACCAGTGCCGGACCCTGCCCCAGCCTTCTGAGTGTAAGTACACTGATGCTTTACTTCTGTCTTCCACATCTCCCAAATTTCTCCTGTGATCAACCTAACCTGAACTATACAGGTAAGGGCTCTCTCAGAACTATAGTTTCAGCTTAACTAAGTGGACACTACATAAGACCATTATACAGATATGACCATAAGATTAAGTACTGGCTAATACAAAATAAAGGAGTCCTGGTGGTGCAGCAATTAAGCACTCAGCTGTTAACCAAAAGGTTGGTGGTTCAAACCCACCAGTCACCCTATGGGAGAAAGTTGTAGCCGTCTGTTTATAAAAATTACAGCCTTGGAAACCTTATGGAGCACTTCCACTCTGTCCGATAGGGTCACAATGAGGTTAACTTGACGGCAAACAGGTGGGTAATGGATAATGTGAACTGAGAGCAGTGTGATGTATAAATTCTAAAATGTATCCTTCAATATTAAGGACTAGACTGTTATCCTATTTCCCTGTGCTGCTACACAAAATAGGGATGTGAAAACTGGAGCCCATCACAGACCATAAGGACCACATGCTATGCATTGTTGTTGTTGTTGTTGAGTGCCATCGAGTCGGGTCCGACCCATAGCGACCCTGTACAGGGTTTCCGAGGGTGTAAATCTTTACGGGAGTAGAAAGCCTCATCTTTTTCCCGCGGAGCGGCTGGTAGTTTCGAACCGCTGACCTTAAGGTTCGCAGCCCGATTCGTAACCACTACGCTATGCATAGTGGAGCAGAAATAAAAGCCGTGTGGAACCCAGGAAAAAGTTAGGCCTCCATACCAACCCTGAATTATCTATCATCACAATTTTATGGGACAGAAGTGTACATTTTGTTTAAGCTACTATAATTTGGGTTTTTATCACAAGGAGCTGAATTCATACTCTAAAACACTAGATACAATCCATCTGGTGTTTGTTGTTTGTTGTTAAATGCCTTCGAGATGGATCCAAAGCTGTTAACTCTTTGCAGAAAGTCTCCTCTTTCTCCCTCAGTGTAGCTGGTGGGCTTAAAGCACCAACTATGTGGTTCGTATAGTCCAGTGTTTATCTTGAAAAGCCACCATGCTCCCAGTCATCTGTTGTTGTTGTGAAGTGCCACTGAGTCGGTTCCAACCCATAGCAACCCTGTATAGGGTTTCCAAGGTGGAGTGATATAAAAATACTAATGATTATACAAAGATTTAGACCCTATATCACCTATCTAGCCCATCAAAATGAAATTCATAAGGAAGTGATCAAGTCAGAGACTACAACAAATGGAACCATGAGAAGAAAATGGTGGTAAGCTTTGAAATGACTCAAAACGTGTGTGTGTGTGTGTGTGTGAAAGGTAGGGGAGGGGAGGAGGGCAGGGAAAGGTAGGTGCTCAAAGCAAAAATTCTTAAAAAAGATGAGATATACTTCAAGGGAAAACCTAATTAACAGTCTGAAATTCAAAAGACTAATCTTATCTTACCAAAGTGTCTAGCACTTGGGTAACAATAGGTAAAAACATATAAGCACTCTAATGGCTTATCTAAGGAGCTCTGGTAGCACAGTGGTTATGAATTGGGCTGCTAATCTCACTGACATCAGCTCAAAACTACTAGCTGTTCCATGAGAGAAAGATAAGGCTTTCTGCTCCCGTAAAGATTTACAGCCTTTTTTTGCTATGAGTCAGAACCAACTCCACGACACATAACAACAACAACAAATGGCTTATATATTCTAAAGGTTACTGGTATGGAAGGAAAAGGTAAATAAAATCTCAGTGAGTGAAAACATTTAGAAACTGGTTTTATATAATAGAGAAAAGTTCAGAAAAATGGAATTTAAAAACTGCATAAGTTTCCTAATAACAGTGGGGAAATGAATGAATAGCTCAAATCAGAAAAAGGAAATTGAGGAGGAAAAGACACACATTTGCACACAAAAACAAGTAAAATAAAGATAAATTGCAATGTAAGTTAAAAGAAACACAATCATATATGCCTACTGTTGGTGTGGTGTTGTAGGTAAGTACTAGACTGCTAAACACAAAGTCAGCAGTTCAAACCCACCAGTCACTCCTTGGAAACCCTATACAGTGTTGCTGTGAGTCAGAACTGACTCCACGTACTTAACAAGAATAAAACAATACCTACTGTCATAATAAATGAAAACATTTAACATTGGGTTAAAACCTGTTATTTGATTTGTTTGTTTTTCAATAAAGACACTTTATTAAAATGATAAAGATAAAAATTTAAATGAGATTCAAGACAAACTCAAGAAAAAGGATGAAGGATAACATTAATATTAGATACACTGAAACTGAGTTTTAAAAGTACTAAGCAAGATAAGAGGGTCCCATAACAACAACAACAACTCTATTAGGATAAAAGGCACAATTTTTGATGAAGATACAAGTAAAACAAACAACCTTACATCCCAATTATTCAGCAGCAAAATGACATTTTAAAACAGTTACAAAAATAATTTTATACAAATAAAATTAAAGTTGGAGATTTTAATTTTATTTGTATAAAATCAAATCTACCAAGTACACACACACAAAATAAACAGAGTTGCGTTGTTGCTTTTAAGTGCTGTCAAGTCTGTTTTAACTCATAGCAACCCTGTATTGGGTTTCTGAGGAAGAGCTGGTGGGTTTCAACTGATGACCTTTGTGGTTCAAAGTCCAATGCTGATCTTACAGTGCCACACCAGGAGTCCAAAGAGAATTACAGAGGACTTAAATAATAAAAGCAATGCACTCAATTTGATACATTTATTAAAACCTTTCATTAGAGAATATACATTTTTAAATATCCATGGAAAACATCCAAAAAATGTATTTCATTTGACCACAAAGAAATCTTAACATGTTCTAAATAGTAGAGATTTTACAGAAAAAATTCTATGTTCATAAAAAAAAAAAAGGACAAAATAAATTACCATTTAGAAATTAAGAAACAATCATTAATAACCCTTGGATAAGAGAGAAAAAAAATTGAATTTTCACAATATCTAAAAAACACTAATAGGAAAATATTTTATCCAAATAACTATGAAAAATCAAAGTTGTACTAGATAAAATACATAGTTTGTAATGCCTTCCTTATTAACAAAAATACTATAATATAATAATGTTTTTACACAATGATAGTTGTAATATATATTTTCATACAGATTTAATTAGCATATTCATAATTTACTTACAATTGCTTTTGTCTAGGATCCAGTAATGGGTTTAGAGCTTGTAACAACTTGTGCAAATTAAACATCCCAATATTGGCTTGATTTCCTATTTTATATCTTTTTTCATCATCAGATGTATTTGGTACAAAATCTGCTTAAAGCAAATATTAGCATTTTACAAAGGGGATAATTGTAATAAACACTTCTTTCCTTCATGTTTAAGTTTATACTTGTCAATAAATTTGTATTTATTAAGCAAAAAGCTCCTTGACATTAAATATTTAACTCAAAAGTAATGCAAAAACTAATATTGGTATGGCGCTGTAGGATAATACACTGGAATGCAAGGTTGGTTTTAATCACAAGGTTGGCAGTTCAAACCCACCAGCTGCTCCTCAGAAACCCTAGACAGGGTCACAATGAGTCAGAACCGACTCGATGGCACTTAACAACAATACATACTAAAATTTTTTTTTAAATATGAATATTTGCCTAATACAGAAATACATTCCTAATCTACAAGAATTTCAGGTTATCCTAATTACTATTTTCCTATGAATTTAAAAGAATATATATACAACTTTCTAGGTCTAAAAGAGAAAAACTAAGGGAAAAGCTGTGAAATATTGGTGGCAATTACAATTAAAAGTATCAACAACCTAATATATAATGTCTAAGCAGATGACATCATTTGGAAATACCAAAAACAACAGCAAACACTGAAAACTATTCTACAGGCCTACTCTCCCAACTCCCTCAATAAGCGAATAAAAGAATGAGCAAGGGAAAAATTGGAGCAACAAACTACCTCTGTTGGAAATGTTATGTCCCTGAAGATCCTTGTGGGAAGGCCAGATTGAGAAGGAAAGTATTATGAAACTTTCTTAGATTAGGAAGGAAATAGCTAACTCTGTTGGCTAAAGTTTGTTTGTTGTTGTTAGGTTTATACAACATTAAATAGCTGACATTATTTCCTTCCATCTCAATTTATATGACATACACTGTCGTCTGTCTTGTCGTTCCAACTCTCTACTTCTGGTCTTTTCTCATTCTGCTCATGAAACAGTAATGAAAAAGTGGTATAGATAATTTAGATCATGGCAGTAAAGGAGATCTCGAACTGTGGATCAGTGAACTCTGCTTTGTTCCCTGAACACAGACCACACTTTCAATTCCAGCCAGTCATTTTGTTAATAGATGGAAGACCAATCTAGAAAACACTATCCATATGGAAGCTTTTTATCCCTGCCCTTACAGAGACTTAAAACTCAAACTCAAGTAGCAAGTCCTTCACAAAGCCTTCTCTCATCCCTCCAGTGCTTTCATATTATTACTATCTCATTTTATAGATGAGGAAAGTGATCTGTGTTAAGACACAAACTATTAGGGGTGAGATACACTAACTCCTGCGTGGTGCCATGAGTTAATGTACTGAACTGCAAGGTCGGTTTGAATGGCAAGAACCAACTAAATGGCACTTAACATCACACTAACTCAAACCTATGTTTGTCTGACAACATATCCCAAACTCTTAATGACAATACTATACTTCATGATATTTTTAATAAGCAAATTCTTTAAGGGCAGACACTGTAAAGGACTCATTCTTTTAAATAGCTTATGGCACCTGGAAAATTTAGTAAACACATAAAAATGACCACTTTATGAACGAACCCAATTGTTTTTACTGTCCTAGCCTGTATAATCTATAATGATATGTACACACACACACACACACACACACACATATATTCACATAAATCATACGTACCCGGATTATAGGCCTCCATAAAACCAAATGGACCATAGTCAATTGTAATGGATAACAAACTAAAATTATCAGTATTACCAACACCTAAAACAACACAAAATATTTTTATAAACACAAAAATCAAATAATAAAGTATTTTTCTTTTAATGCTATAAATTCATCCACAATAGAAAAGGTCATGGAAATGCATTCATATTAGAGATCAGACAAAATTAGATAATCAAATAGCTTAATATATATTAAAATTCTATTTTGCCTTTTGTTTTATAACTGCAGTCCCAGAGATTTCAAATACTACAGAGAAAACAAGTCCCAAGAAATGGAATTTCCTCTTTTATTTAGCCTCAATTTCCAGCATTTATTTTTATACATGGTGATTTTAAGAGCCATTGAGTCAATTCTGACTCAGCTACCCTATCTAGAGTTTCTGAGGAGGAGCAGTTGGTAGATTTGAACTACCTACCTGGTGGTTAGCATATTATATATATGAGTGTGTGTGTAGCTCTGGTAGCATAGTGGCTACGAATCAGGCTGCGAACCGCAAGGTCAGCAGTTCGAAACTACCAGCTGCTCCACGGGAGAAAGATGAGGCATTCTGCAACCATAGAGATTAACAGCCTCAGAAACCCTGTGCAGGGTCGCTATGAGTCAGAACTGACTCCACAGCACATAACAACAACAACAACAACATATACATACACACACATGTAGGCGCTTCAAAAGTTGGTGGAAAATGGAATTAAGTGATAATGGAAATTTTCCATGAACTTCTGAAGCAGCCCTGTATTCATATGCATTTACACAGACACATATGTATTAATTATTTGGAAAAGAACTGATACTAGAAAAGGTATAAAATTAATTAATTTTCAAAAATTGTGAAAACAGGAAAAAGGTAAAAACATGGATATATACTTCCATAAGTCATTGCTGAGGCCACTGTCACTGTGGACTGGGAGTTTGACCACCAAGGTAAGACTCCCAGATGGGGCAAATGGATACACTAGCATAGGATAGAGTATCTGGACAGAAGAGCAAAGGTATCTACTATTTCAACCTTTTTGGGAGCAAGATGGCCCTGTTTATCAAAATGTTAAATGTATAGATTCTCTACCCTAGTCATTCCGTTTCTAGGAATTTATTCTCATAAACTCACCTTTAAGAATGCAAGGACAGTTACATGATGGTCTCTGCAGCCTGTTAATCGTAGCAAAAGCTTAGAAACACCTACAGTGCTACGTAGGAGCCCTGGTGGCACTGTAGGATGAGTACTCATCTGCTAACCACAGGGCTGTAGTTAAAACCCATCAGTTTCAGATGAAGCTTCCTGCCCCCTCCCCCCCCCCCCCCAAAAAAACTAATGTTCTCCCATGTAAACTATCACACAATTCACAATAAAACAAAAAAAAAAAAAAAAAAAGATTTACAGCCTCAGGAACCCATAAAGAGTCATTATGCATGAGTGAGTGTGAGTCAGGGACTCTCCCAGTTGACTTGATAGCAATGAGTTCCTCTGCTTCCTGCCTTGCCCCAAGTGAAAGTACATGATTTTTCAGTTATTCTTAGTTCGGGCAAAAATTCTTTTTAATGCCTGGTTTCAAACACATAAGGCTGGTTTGTTTGTTTTTTAATGTTTTATTGTGAATTATGTGATAGTTTACATGGGAGAACATGAACTTTACATTCATCCTATATATCATTTCATTGCCATGGTTACAATCCCCTCCATGCATCATCAACCAACCAAAGGGTATACGCTACAAGCCTGCCCCCTAGTCGTCAGCACACATTCCGTCTCCCTCTCTGGGTCTAGAGTCCTCAGCCTCTCCATCTCTCCACGTCATCGTCTCTGCCTCCATCTCTGGCGTCACTGCTTCTCTGGGTAGGGTCCCGCACTCTGCTCTTCTCCCTGAGGGACCCAAGGACCTCCACTCCTGGACTACAAAGTCAACCACTCCCCTCCTTTTGCTACAAAATGTCTACCTTTACATTTCCAACCCTCACAGTCAGTCCTGATAGCAATTATTCACTATTGTACCACATGAGTGTCTTCTCCATCTCCTTTCATCAGCCCAGCCAAGACAGATTGGATACTACTCAGTGGAGACTACTTTCCTCTGCACCCTCTGGGTCTAAAGCCTGTTCTTTTTTGTAGGAGAAATAATGTATAACATAGGAGAAAGTTCAGAGGAATTGAGAGAAAATGGTTAGCAGTGATTAGCTTAGGGAGGGAACTCCCACTCACTCTGTATTTTCAATTGTTTACCAAAAGCATGTACTACATTTATAATGGAAAATGTTATACAGCTTTAAGGAGATCTAAATATGATCTGTACTTACACATATGTAACCCAATATATAAGAGCTATAAAGATAACATTATCCTTACCAGCATGAGGATGCTGATTGTTTTGTTTATACTGTTCATCCAAAATAATTTTAAACATGAGAAAAATATTTACCTGTTGCAAAGAACAATTTTTCATCTTAAAACTATTAAGAAGCTCATGATCAGGGCTATCTTAAAATATACACAAAGAAGTCCTCTCCTAGAACTGATGAAGTCTACTGTATCGTCAGACTCAACTCTCAGTAGATAACTTACCATGAGCAAAACCAACAGACATCCACAAGGCAATAAGTTGTGCAGTCTCAGATACCACAACAGACAAAAAATCCTAAAAGAAAATTTAGAAAATCGTCAGATTTAGGGTCCTCTAAGTCATTACATGAAAGCAAATCAAAAGGGGTCCAAAGATGACCAAAAAAAAAAGGAAAATCGTACGTTTAAGAAAAATGGAAGGAAGTACAATTATTCATCCAGAAGAAATCTATAAAAGAATCAGACATCGTATTGTGAAATAGGTTTTCTTCATCTCCAATAAGAAAAGAAAAAGACAGATTTCAACTCATAAAAATTAAATACTTTTTAATACGTCAAAGTAAGCCAAGTGAAAAGAAAGTACACAGATTGGGAGAAATTTGAGGACCCACATATTAGATAAAAGCCTGGTGGTGGTGGTAGTGGTAGTAGTTGTGTGCTAGCAAGTTGGTTTATTTCCAGGGAAGGGAGGTGAGAGAAAAGGGAGAATTTTTGCTTAAGGGGCATTGAGTTACATTTAGCTGTAACTAAATGTTGTGGGATGACCTAGGAAAGGATCACAAGAGTGATCATATAATTTGAAGAATGTCATCAATGTCACTGAAATGTTATTGCCGTTAGGTGCAGTCCAGTTGGTTCCAACTCATAGCAACCCTGTGTACAACAGAATGAAACACTGCCTGGTTCTGCACCATCCTTACAATCCTTGTTACACACGCTGCTGCTACTGTGCCAATCCATCTTTTTTTTGAGGGTTTTCCTCTGTCACTGAATTATACATGTAGAAATGACATGGTATATGTTCTGTCATGTATATTCTTACCATACTAAAATTACAAAAAGAATAATAATGTGCATAGGCAGGATAGAGTACCTGTTCTTTCTTCTCTCTGTATCTCTTAGATAAAACAACATTCTTATCTATGTCTTGTTTATGAAATGTTTCATAGTCCAACTTCTTAGCAAAATGTTCAAACCGCTCTACAATTCTCTTTCTAATCTTGTTTTTTTAAATGTTTTATTGTGAATTATGTGATAGTTTACATGGGCGAACAGTAGTTTTACATTCATCCTATCGTATATTATTTCATTGCCATGGTTACAATCCCCTCCATCTAATCTTGTTTTATAACTTCTAAATTGTAACCTTTCGTGTGGTGCCATAGGAAAAGCACTTGGTTTGAACTGCAAGGACAGTGGTTCAAACTCACCAGTCACTCCTTGGAAACTCTATTCAGGGTTGCTATGAGGAGGAACCAACTCGACGACACTTAACAACAACAAAAACTATGGTGGCCAATATGAGAAAACAGCGTGCTATCCTTTCTCTTTTAAAACTTACCACGTATCTATCAGGTCCTTTGGCATTGATTGAGGGGAAATATTCCTGTATGATGAAGTCTAATAATGTCCTAGGAATAAAAAGGAGAGCATATCAATGTTCTTCAGAAGATAATATTACATATCCAGTCACCTAAATCCACCATGACATTTAAAACATTTTAATTTAAACATTAAAACAATATGGTTTTACTCCCAAGAGTAAGAGAAAAATATGGAACAAAACTCAAAATCATAAAAAAGACAAGGCTTATTGGTTGGATACTGACTAGTGGAACCCAAGACTATGGGTCTTAATCACCCTACAAGTCTGGAACTGAATACATCATAGAGGCTCAATTTTCAGCCAAACAATAGACCAGCCTATAAGGGGAACAGTAACACACCAGGAAACTATGCACTCCTTAGAATAAGCAATCACTTAGATCAAAAGGACCACATTTACCCAAGGAATGGGAAGAGTTAGGAAAGAAGGGGGAATGGAAATGGGCACAGAGTGAGGAAGTGTGATGAGTGATATTACTTACACGGTGGGGACTATAATTAACAGCATTAAATAAAATGCATATGAATTAGCATATGGAAAGCTGACTTGCTCTGTAAACCTTCATTCAATTCACAGAAAAATGTTACGTAAAATAATCGCTTACTCTCCAAACAGCCAAGGAAATATTTCCCCAATCCCAGTGAAACATGGAAGTGTGTTTTAAAGATCATACTAGATTTTTTTTTTTTATGTTTTAAAAGCAGATTAGTTAAATAAGAATTCAATGAGTATTTTCTATATACCAAGCCCTGTGCAACTGCCAGGGAAATAAGAATGACAAGACACAGACAGACTCAGACCTCGAAGAGCACGCAGTCTACTAAGAGAGAGGAGCGTGTGAGGAAATAATAACAGTACAGTAATAGGTGCAATAACAGAAACATTAAAAAGCATAACAGATCAGGGAATTATTATTATGTGTGGAGGGCCATAGGTTTGCTGTGGTTGTTGTTACATGCCCTGGAGTTGATTCCAACTCATTGTGCCCCTGTATTGGGTTTCTGAGGAATGGCTGGTGGGTTTGAACTGCTGACTTTGTAGTTCATTTATCCTACAATTCCATATCAGGACTCTGGAGGGCCACAGAAAGCCTCACAAATGAGGTGAGAAAACATTGGCAAATGTTTAAAGTTCAAATTTTTAAATGTATTTCTCATAGTTTTATTCTGTGTTAAGCAGCTATTCTAGCTGACTAACCATTCATGTTCATTGCGTTGGGTAAGAGGATATTCAGAAAAAAATTAAGTAGCTGTGATTTGAAAATTATTAAAATCCAGTTAAAACAATAGGAGTGCATTCAAGTTTGTCTAGGTAGAATCCTTTGGCAATCAACAAGTTGTTTAGGAAGCAGATTAGTCAGAGCACACTAAGAAAGATGTATTTTTAAAATACTTACTATGAGAGAATATGTCATTGGAAGCATTTCAAGGATAAAGGATAATAAACAGTATGCATCAAATGCCACAGAGATCAATTAAATAAATATAGCTGAAATATTACTACCAAATAGAACAATTTCAGCAGCATGGTGAATCCAAACAGAAGTGACCTAAAACACAAATAAGAAACCATCCTAGGCATTTGCTCAAGAGACTCAGACATGGTGACTTCCCAGCTCAGCTAATTCATTTCTCTCATTTCTTCCCTTATACTTTCTTGGAGTCCTGGTGTGGCATTGTGGGATAAAGCACTGGACCACATGGT